GCGAGCCCAGACGAGACGTGTTTTCACTTCCATACCGTTCAAGTACTCCAAAAGTCATGTGAGATGGCTCCAGCATCAGTGAGCACTTGGTGAGCTCATTCCTGTTAAACCGCCGCAGCGCGTCGAGTCCAAGTCGTGGCCAAAGCACGCAATCCCGAGTCGTTGGCTAACGCACAAGCTAGATCTAGAGTCCGAGTTGGCCACAGTCAGCGCGCATCTCCAGTGGAAACCAAAGGCACTGCAAATACTGTGCCAGAGTCCAGCCAAGTTCTAGCCTCACTAGTGTCAGCGTCGATATCGATATCATGAGTAGCTGTGCGATAATCATCAGACCCAGTTCCATAACGTGCCTACTTCCTACACACACTTGAATTTGAAGCCCAGGGTTCGTAAGTAAGCACCCCCAATTTCACTTGAACGCTGACGGTTGATGCTGCAGTCGGATTCCGTCGTTCCGAACCTAGGAGGGTTGTTGTTCAGGTAATGTTGTTTGATGATGATGATGAGAAACATGGAGATGAATTTCACATTCGTCAGCGCAACTATGGAAAAGGAAAACTTGAAGCTTGAAGCTTGAAGGCTTGTGAGTGTTTCAAGCCTTGGTGAAACTTCATTCGTCCTTGATCACGCAGTATGTTTGTGGAGCGAAGAAAAAGAAACCGTGACCAAAGACATTAAACAGGTGTGGGAGGTACATACCTGCAGGGCGATTCAGAATCCATAAGCACTAATACCTCAGGCCTCAGACTCTCGTCAGGTGTACATCTCAGTAAAAACGAAAGTCAGGTCAAGTCATCTACCTCTCACAAGAAGGTCATGTGAAGTCACATTGGTAAATGCAAAGTCATGTGGCGCTCAGTTATGTATCTGCAAAGTTTTCACGGCCTAACTGAAGTTGAGGAATAGTCAGTTACAAGTCATGTTGTAGTCTAATCCTGGTCATCCGAATTTCTATCATTTGTATCGCCTTTGTCCTCAGTCAACAAGACAATTTGTTGAAGTCCGTTGAAACTCCGACATCAGGTGATCATGTTGTCAGCGCGAAAATTCCTTGTTCTTCCCAAGTTCTTCCATGTTCTTCCTTCCCACCACACCCACGCAAGCTCCGATTCATAAGTCGACGAACAGCCTTCCCGCGACGAACACCTTCTCCCTCCCTCGACCAGCGGCCTCCTCTCGCGACGAAGGGTCTCCTCCCTAGGTAGAGATGACGAAAGGCCTCTTCCCTCCCTCGACCAACGGCCTCCTTTCTCTTCCTCCTTCAGCAGACGATCTCCTCCCTCAACGGATGTTCTCCCCTTTGATGATAAGTCTCCGCCCTCGACAACTGGTATCCCCTCAACAAATGGTTTCTGAGATCTAAGCTCAACGAACTGTCTCCGCCCTCGACGACCTGTCTCCTCCCTCTACGACCTCTCTCTTCCTTCGACGACCTATTTCCGCTTTCGACGAACTGTCTCCTCCATCGACGACCTGTTTCCGCCTTCGACGAACTGTCTCCTCCATCGACGACTTGTTTTCGCCTTCGACGAACTGTCTCCTCCATCAACGATGTGTGCCTCCTCCCTCACTCAATGGTCTCCTACTGACTCACTCAATAGCCTCCTCCCTCCTTTGATGAATGCCTTTTGGCTTCCCCCCCTATTATGATGAATGGTCTCGGCCTTCCCCCTACAGTCTCATCCCTCCTTCGACAAATGATCCCCTCTTGAGAACGACCTCTTCTTTTCATACGAAGATGTGGCTTAATTAGGAGATGAGAATTTGGACTTGAGGTGGTGCTAGAGGTGTATATAGAGCACAGTCAGTAGGCTTGGAAAATATATGATTTGTTCCATGATTCCGATACTGTTACCTGAGGTTGTGATGAGAGATACATGACTAACACACATCAATCAAATGACCTGAGCATGACGGGAAAGAGACTATTATATGACTGTAGCATGACTGTGTTCTGGCTTTTATTTGACTATGGAAGGACTATAAGGTGACTACATGACTACCGAATGACTGTAACCGAC